CAGCCAGCCATGCTGGCTGGGGAATTCTGGGAGTTGAAGTCCACCCATCTTAAAGTGGCCAAGCTTGAGAAACACTGCCTTAGCAGCTGCTTTGATGAAGGTAGCAGTCAATCAGGGCTATAACAGGGAAGCTGATCCCTGCTGGCTATCATTAGATGGTTTAGGAATGTAAGGATCTTAAGCAAACCCTTAAACCTGTCTCACAAGCTAACGTTTGGCTAGCTGACATTCCTCAAGGCAAACTTTAAAAATCTTCAAAACGGGGGTACAGCCATGAAAACTACTGTACTGTTTAAAAGAGTGCCGGAAAAGAGGTTTGTCGCTTACCGTTCAACCGTTTCAGCATTAAGCATCCCCCAAATGCATGCAGAAAACAGAGGGGTGCAGCCGTTACTGCTTTTCTTGCAAAAAAGCAGGGGAAGAGGAGGGGCGGTTTCAAGGACAAAAGCTGCAATAAACCCGTGGAGAAAGATAAGCCCGTTTCGACTTCGTTTTGTCCCAAGCCGCAGCCAAACACCATGCCCCACTGGGACGACTGGGAGAGGCCGAAAGAAGAGTTTCGGCTGATCCAGAAGCTGGGTGCGGGCTACTTTGGAGAAGTCTACGAGGGGCTCTGGAAGGACAAAGTGAAGGTCGCTGTCAAGGTGTTGTCGAAAGGTAAGAGCCGAGCTGCAGAGCGGAAAGGGCAGGTGACGTGGTCCTTCTGCTGGGGCGTTTCGTGCAGAGGAAGGGGGTGGCCATGCCAATGAAGCCCCACCCCTTTTCTATAGACATTCTGCATGGGCCATCTTGACTTTTTTGACTCTCCCTGCAGATGCCTCTCCATCCCTCCCCGTCTATTTACTCTGCTTCTCAACAGCTGGTCAGCAGCGCTCTTTCTCCCCCAGCCCCCCCAACTCATCATGAGAGGGAACATTTTTGTATTGGAAAAGCCACCCTTCGGAATCTATTTGCAAATCCTTACAGGTAGTCCTTGCTTAACAACCATTCATTTAGTGACCATTCGAAGTTACAACAGTGCTAAAAAAGTGACTTACGACCAGTGCCCAAAGTTATGACCATCCGACCACCCCTGTGGTCATGTGATCATGATCCAGGCAGTTGGCAACCAGCTTGTACTTATGACGGTTGCAGCATCCCAGGGTCACATGATCGTCATTTGCGATCTTCCCAGCCGGCTTCCGGCAAGCCAAATCAATGGGAACCACATGATTTGCTTAACAACTGCTGCAAAGGAGGGTTTAAAATTGGGTCCAATTTGCTTAACAACTGCCCCCGCTTAACAACCAATTTTCCGGTCCCTATTGTGGTCATTAAGCAAGGACTACCTGTATTTGGTTTCTGCAACCCAAAGCCCTTTTTAAAATGTACATCACCTTGATAGAGCATCTTATATGGACCGCTGCCATAGGTAGAGTCGTATATAATGATAATATAAAACATTGCAATCATCTAGTCCTCATGGAAGATCCAGGAAAAAGATTTTTTTTTGCAGATTTAAAAAAACAGGAAGCAGTACAGACCAAGAAAACGAAAGGTTGTATTTGCAGAATAAGCCAACCAGCTAGCTTCATGTATCAGAAGTAAGGGGGTTTGAGAACTCAGAGGGGTGCGTGGTGGTCCGAGAGGAGCCACCATAACCACACACCCATCGCGATACCCTTGCAGAAGTGATGTGAGTTGGGTAATTATGCCCCGGTGCCCTTTGCTTGACGATGCCGTGATGGGTGGGACATCATTTGTTTGACGTCTGCAAGCGAACGGAGTTTACCGTTGCTTTTTCTCCCCCCGCAGCTGACCTGACGTGCCAGGACACCCTCAAAAACGAAATCGAGGCCCTGAAGCTGTTGAAGCACAAGAACATCCTCTTCCTCTACGCCATCTGCTCCCTGGGGGATCCCATCTACATCATCACGGAGATCATGAGCAAAGGCAATTTGCTGGCGTTCCTGAGAGGTAAGGCCTTCCCCTCCGGTTTTCCCCTGGCCCCACACCCTCATCTGGGGGTATCTGTCGCAAAGCCAAGATTTTACCCCAATGACATGAAGCGCATCGTGAGAACATCAGCGGAGCCCTGCAGGGTCACCCCGTCTCGTCCAGCCGTCTCTTCTCCCAGCGGCCAGCCAGCTACCCAAGGAAGCCCACCAGCCGATGCCCTTCAGAGGCAGCCGGCGGCCGTCAAAGCTAAGATCCGTGGATCCCCAAGACTTCCAACCCTTTTCAGACACCAGCCAAGCTGGCAGCCAGCGCCCCCTCCCAGGGTAGCAGATTCCAAAGTTGAATTACGTGAGGTATAAAAACATATTTCCTTTTGTCTGTCCTAATTCTTCCAGGGATCAACTTCCTTGGGTGACCTCTGGTTCTAATATTTCAGGGAGGGGGACGATGGCTTCTCCTAGTCCACTCAGAATGCATAATTTTGTACACCTCCATCACGAGGTCTCGCCCTTTCATGTTTTCATGGGCTGCAACAACCCAGGCATGACCTGGATAACGTGGAAAGGGTTGGCATGTCATGATCCATAGTTTTTCATTCCTCCCCCCCCCCACGTGAGCATGCGCTGTCATGTACACCAGTGGGAAAGTAATTTTTGGGTTCCAGTGAGCACATCTGGAAATTGGATAGCCACCTGGCCGAGCTTTTTCTCTCTCATGTTCTCTCGTCTTCCCAAGACGTTTCCCAACATCTCAGCTTCTCTTTGCCCTTTTTCTGAACACCTTCTCAAATAAAATTTGGGCTGCAGCCCCCATCCTACCCTCCTATCAGCTTTTTTTTTTCTGCCTAAGGACCTTAGCAGACTCAAAAGGCATTTTCAAAAATAAAAATTTTTAAAAATCAGGAGTTTCCTAGGATTCCATGAGAATTGGGTGGGGTTCTGCGCAAGGCCAGTTTGAAATATATATAAATAAATAAATAAATAAATAAATAAATACGGATGAGACTTCAGTGGCGCGGCATGGAGTCATCTTCACTTTAAACACACACACACACACACACCCTGTAGATACCCCTGCTCTTTTAATTGAAAGGATGTAAAAAAAAAACAACAACAGGGGAGGCCGGGCAAAAAGTCTGCTGAGGGTGGTGCCAAGGTGGGCAAAGTGTTTTAGGTCTGAAATCCGTCCAGGTCAGGAGACCCTATTTCAAACACAAAAAAGTTTCTAATTCCCAATGCTTTGAATTCAGGCGGGCTGTGCCAATCGTACGGAAAGTGTCCAGCTCCATTTGATTTCCAGACTGGAAACCTTTGGCGCACGTTGGGTGCTCAAAGCAGTGCGAGTGGCCTGTTGGTGCCCCTGGGCACTGGGTTGCCTCCCCGTGACTCCACAGCCATGAGGAGGTCTCTTGTAGCCTTCCTTGAAAAAGGGGAGTGAAACGTTTCGAAGGCACGTGTGGCCCGAGATGTGCTCATGGAGATGTTGCCGCCTCCTTCTCCCCAGGTTCTGAAGGGAGACAGATGGAAGTGGTGGAGCTGGTCAGCTTGGCTTCCCAAGTGGCCGAGGGGATGAGCTACCTCGAATCCCAAAATTTCATCCATCGAGATCTTGCTGCCAGGAACATCCTGGTGGGAGAAAACAACATCTGCAAAGTGGGAGATTTTGGAATGGCCAGGCTGATCAAGGTACGTTTCCGTCCTTCTGGGCCTGGAAAAGCATCGACAAAGGAAAGCAGGACCCAAAGGCCAAATTGAGGGATGGGTAATGAATAAATCAAGTCAAATCAAACTTTGATTGGAGGCAGATCCATCCTTTTCTAAAACCTCATGAAGAAAGCAAGGGACGTGAGGAAAGCCAGGGAAACGAGAGCATAAAAATAACAAATTAAGAGGGAAAGATATAGGATATAACATCTCCGTAACACGCACGTACAGAAGGGGCAGAGTGTGGACCGTGGCACCGCACCTCCTGTCCTGGCAGGCCGTTGTCTCTGCAGACCCTTTTTGGGCAACACGGAATGTCAAGTTTTCCAACGGCCCCGTGCAACCTGGATCACGGCGTGCTTCTCTGTTTGCAGGATGATATTTACCACTCTTACTCACACAAAATTCCTTACAAATGGACAGCCCCAGAAGCCATCTCCCACAGCTGCTTCTCCATCAAGTCTGACGTGTGGTCCTTCGGCATCCTCCTGTATGAAATCATGACTCGGGGCCAGAACCCGTATCCAGGTACTGGGGCAAGAGCAGGGAGTTGGGTGGTAGATTCTCAGGACCAGCTTCTCCCATCCGGATCCCTTTGTGACCTGTGGGATTAGCCTCCTTTAGGTTTCAGGGAGTGCTAACTTCCGACATGCATGTTTTAAAAAAACTTTAAAGCATTTGAAGACTATTTGGGGGGGGACCCCATTTCTGGAAGGGTTCTGTTATCGCCTAGAAGTAAAACCTGCGTTTGAAAAGTCTGGTCAAGGCTGGAACCTGCAGAATGAACGTTCACGCGTTTCATGTCGGTGCCGAATTCAGATTTCTAAAACTCACACGCAATGCATGGAAAAGATGATTTCCCGGGTTGGTGCTTCAAATAAATCAGAATTGGCTTGAAAAGCAGTGTGTTCCCCTCCTTCTAACAAAGCCCAGCTGTCACTTCACGTGGCTTCCCTTGTGTAAAGCCTCCCCTATGTGGAGCATCGCCGTTTTGCACCATTGCACGAAGCAGAAGCGCAGCCTTTTTGCACAAGCCACTCCACTAAATGCGAAGACGGGTATTCATTAAAAGCAATGGTGCAATGAAATTGATGATGTGGTTAAAGCAGAGTTTCTCAACCTTGGCCGCTTGAAGATGTGTGGACTTCAACTCCCAGAATCCCCCAGCCAGCCCTGCTGGGTGGGGGAGTCTGTGAGTTGGAGACCACACCACTTCCAACGGCCCACGGGGAGGAAGAATGGGGGTAAGGGGGGGGGAA